AAGCCCGCGCCTCGCCGCGCTTGGCCTCGCTCGCCACGCAACGCCACGTCAAGTTCATAGAGGCGAATGATTTCCCCTCGGCGAACGCAGCGCAGCAGAGTTTCACTTGTTGTTGGTATTGTGATTACAGTGGTCAAAATTGGAATTGTTATACGCGCAGGCAGCATACTAGCCAGTTGTCGATACAAGCGTCGCTGAAAAGCATTGTGCATCAGAAGACCCACAAACTCAGCCCCAGGTGTTGACTTTTCGCCTCTTTCATCACTGTGATTCTGCACCTTCGCAACGTACAGAAAATTTTATTTGCCAGTGATCCAAAAACAAAACACTTTATAAACTCACCCGTTTTGGACGTTTCTCCTACACTCTCATACGGGCGCGGTGCGCGGGGGGAGAGGGAGAAGAGCGTCATGTTGCCGCGACCCCTTGTTGCATTTTCACGGAATTAACTCCAACAAACAACACTGTAATGGAGGCCCAGCTGGCCAACCATTTGTTGAATGGTTCCCAAAATAGAGAGCTAAATGAAGTAAATTTCTGGAATAATCTATACAACTACAAAGCTATCAGGTGGTCAATCAAACTTTTTGCGGCGCACACATTCATACGACCACCGACACAGATAACATCGTTGAAATCCAGATTCCAGACAGTCAGACCAAACACCTCCAACCTCCATGTCCGGCTCAGTGTTGTGGGTTAGCATACCGTTTCGTGCCGAAGGGGCCGTGACTCAAAATTAATGTTTACTACGTTATTTACATTAGGGTACAAAATTTCGTTTTCTTCATCAGGGGTTCATTTTGAAGTTCACGCGAAGTGTCAACGTTTTTACCTCAACACATTGACATTGACAAATTGTTGTTTCATTAGCACGTTACTTGCCGTCACTTTCTAATCTACTTACTAATCTACACACAATAACAAAGTCAGTCAGTAATTCCGCGATTATAATGCATATAAAAACGTAAACACTTAATGCAAGGAAGAAATCGTACAGCAGTTTAAAGTCAAACCCACTAGACTCACCTCCACCCCCTTTTTTTACAAAAAAAAATCATCAAATTATCGTGGTGGTGAACAAGGTGGTCATTAGTGCCCTTTCCTCCCCATCTGCACCCTCCGCAACCCCTCGCGCTGCTGGCCTTGCCGGTCCTACATAGCGGGGCGATATTGAACACAGGTGTTGCCAGCGAATTTCCACCCGCAGTTCTCTCTCTCTCTCTCTCCGTGCTAAAGGAGGGCGGAGGGCAGAGGATGGTGGGAGCGGAGGAGGGGGGAGACCCCGCCTGTGACATGTTTAAATCAAAGGGAAAGCCAGCCTGCCGCGCCCAAACCGCGACCATCACCCCAAACCCCCCTCGCCTACGAACTGCCACCCAGCGCCGCGCGCCCCCGCCGGGCGGCGGGATTTCATACACAAGTCGCAGCGACAAGCGAGAGCGAGTTGGCTGACAATCTGTGAACTTACCGAATAAGACTCGGTTTGACGCGCGCCCCCTCCCTCCTCCCCCCTCCATTTCCTCCTTCGCGCGCCCTTTCCTCCACAACGGTGCTGAATACATTTTGATAAACGGAGGAGGGAATTTAGGGCTCTTTTACAGTTTGTGCCCCTTTTCCAGCGCAGCTCGGCCTGGCTGGGACCAGCCGGCACACCAACTCAGATCTGCCCTTTTGTCTTGCAGTGCGGTCGCACCTGGACGAGGGTAGAGGCGGCTTGAACTTGCCTTCTCAACGTTAATTTCCATATTCGTACATACTCCCAAATTAATTGCGTTTTTAGTTCTCTACTCCCCTACTCCTCTCTCTCTCTCTCTCTGGTTGCTCGTCGGACACTGGTCTCCCACTCCCCGCCTTACGCTTTCTCTCTCCCGTTTCTCTTTCTTCCCGGCACAAGCGTGAGAATGTTTATTTATAATATGTTTAGCGAGAAAACCCACGACACTTTCTTGCGTAGCCGTTTAAAGCCACCTGGCAAAACCATATCGGCCGAGTCAAAAACACGTAGCATCCCGGTCATTTTTCCAACCAAGACGCGCACGTTAGCCTCTCCCTCTCTCCTTTTTATCCACATAAAATGCATTTCCAGCACAGCAGCCTCACGCGTGTCGGCTCAGGCTTTATCACGCCACTTACTCTGCGGCCCTTCCCTTCACCCCCTCCCCAAAAACCGCCTGCAGCTCGTGCCGGGAGTTAGAATATATACACCCCGCTTTGCACCACTATCGCTTCAGGGGGAGAGCGGTAGAGAGGGTAGCCACCGAGGCCCTTCCACCGGATGGGGTAAGAAAGGACTTGTGATATCGGTTTTATTTTGTGCCGACGTAAACTTACCAAAATGAGCATTTTATTTGCCCGGAGGCTGCTTCAACCGTGCGGTAAAGGAAAACAACTACTCGGGCTACGCAGAGAGAGAGAGAGAGAGAGAGAGAGAGAGAGAGAGAGAGAGAGAGAGAAGGAGGGAGAACGGCCGGAAAGAAAGAGCACGTGACAGCTGTCCACTAATATTCGAAAGTGTTCCATAACCAATAAGCACTTGCGGATCGAATACGAACAGATGTTTGGGTTGCAGAGTTGAGCACTACTTGCAAGTCGCCGTGTGAGATATGAGTCAAGTGGAGGAGGATCTACAACGTGCGGGAATACTTTCGGTGCCCATGGGCTCCCTCCTCCCTACCTCACATGACACTTTCCCAAGGCGCGCTGCTGGTGGTAAATAATTCGTGATACCGATACAGCAGCCCCCGCGCTCTCACACGATGCTCGACACATTGCCAACGGATTAATTTACAAAATCTCTCCCTCTCTCTCGCTCTCTGCAGCGACCTTGCAGAGGCCGCCCATTCATTCATGCGAGCGGATTATGTTTTCGAAACAAAACCCCTCTGTCACGACGTGAGTGTGTGGGTGCGCGAGCGCGCACGTTACGTTGTGTAGGTGGCCGAGTAGGTGGGTCGGTCAGAACGCCATACCTGACGAGTGGAGTGAAACCGGAGCCAGGGTGGATAGCAAGTCTCAAACTGAAACAGCTACAACAAGACAGCAGTTATAGAAGCCGGCGTTTCTCTGTCAAACTCTACGGTTACTGGCTACTTTTGTGAGATTACTTATACCAGGTGGCTGATTTACGCCGCGCTCTTCTGTAGGTATACTGTACAGCATGCACGAGTGCGGGTGGGCTTGCCTATCGCCCCTGTCCACGGCACCTTATGAGCCGAGCGAGTAGGCAACCCGCCCGCACTCGTTCATGCGGTACAGCGTAACTACAGAAGTGCGCGGCGTGAATCAGCCACCTGCTATGTCGCATGGATGAATACCGTGTTCATTCTGTCGGAGAAAGATGCGAAGAGAATGCCGTGCTATAACTTTCAGAGTTGTTAAAAGTGTAAGTCTACACCATTAGCTCGTTTGGAAAAATGAGTACTCGGCTATTGTGACCGGGGAAGGAGGGGTGTGGACGTGGGTGAGAGTGTTAGAGGGGGGGGGGGAGACAAATAGGGGGAGAGAAAAACAGAAAGTGAGAGACAGAGAGAGATAGAACAGGGGGTATGAGCTAGGCAGTGTGATAGGCAGGATGTGGAACTCCATGTAGGCCTCAGCAAAACTTTTCTTCTCACTCTCACTCTGTCTTCCCCTCTCTCTTTCACGCAGGCACGCGAATCGGAAGAATCAGGAGCCCATAAATAATGGGCCGGCCGACGAGTAAAGCAGCTGCAGCCGCGGAGCGGCGCGTCCGCTCTCCCGCTGGTCGACGACCTTAAATCTCCACCCCCTCTCACCTCACCCCCTATCCCCATCTCGCTGCCAAGCCGCCTCTCTCCCCGACTCTCCCCGCTCGCGCGAGGCTGTATTGCGATAGGCGTATCACGGACCTATAACTCTCCAAAAAGTTTTGCGCCACGCACGTAATGAATAAGCGGTGTGTGCGATTTCAGCCCGCTCTCCCGACGCTCTTCCGACCCCCCCCCCCCCTCGCTTTCCGCCCGCCCGCGCAAAGACGTGTTTTTAATCTCGCGCGGCGGCAGCACGGCGGGGCGGG